TTTAAATCATCATAACTCTGAAGATAATCATTTTTTTTAAATTTTTTTTCAAATTTATAATCAATATACATAACTTGATAAATACAAACACCAAAATAGGCTCTATTTAGTTCCCCTTTAATATAAAGAGAACGTTTACTAAATCGACGCATATATACATAGTACTCATACCATCTTGTGTAAAATCAAAACCCAAATAGCATATGCGGGAGCTGAATGCCACATCATATAACACAGACGGATTGTAGTCAATTTAAGGCCCCGGGGAAAAACCCCCACAAACATAACTTTTTTAGAACTTAATTACATAGTCCTCAACCAGTATCAACTTGGCTGAAATGACCATCCACAGTACACGATATGGGCGGCTGACATTGTCCGATTTTACAGTTCTCCAAACTTCTTTATGACAATAATATCTGCTATGATATGTGCTTTAAACACTACAGCAAGCACGGAAAACTCTCCCGAATTGTGCACGAACCTTTCACATTAACTCGTATCTGTGTCCCACAATTTGAATGCACTATGTACATGATCGGTCTATAGTGCATCGGTAAATGTGCCCAATTAAATACCAGGCCTGTGAAATAATAGGTTGTGTGGAACACTATCAAATACCAAGTAATTAATGTCAGTCTGATAACTGTGATCAAAGTTGGGATTAACTAACAGTTCGAACGTCGTGATACATAGTGCTAGACGAATGCCTTTAACGGCGGGAACAACTAATTTCCTATTTCTTCTACTTCTTCCTAGATGCCCGGTCTTTAAATATATAGTGAAATTTCTTGAATTCTGGCGATTACATTGATGTTATACTGCCCGGCGATGCATCTTCTGTGACTTGCAGGCGTATGTCGTTAGAGAAGATGGCGGATGTTCGACTCGATGACTTTCTGATGGTACATATGTAAATTTTCTATGTCGGTTTTATACATTTAATTATATAGAAACTTTCTCAACAACATTATTTCATTGCTGATCGATATATAACTATAACTAAAACGAGAATAAAAAAACACTTTCTCGACTTGCAATGCGTGACAGTTTTGAGACGATAGAGGGCGCAACTTAGCGGAAAGGACTTTTCTCACCCATTTAATTTTACTACCGTAATGCCATTTTTACTACTGCCTCCTGGCATGCAGAACAACAACGAATATTCTCCATTTCTATTAGCTGTGTCTACCTGTGTAACCAATTTTGAACACAGATTTCCGGAAATGGCGTAATTTTTAAAATAATTGCCTTTTTGTCTGGAAATTACGTCATGCGCACTACACGGTTTAATTATTTGTATTAACTTAGGGATTGGTCAGTTACATCGGCCTAGGGGGGTCGGCAGATTCCATTTTGCCAGCTGTAAATCTCACTTGATCCACCCCATCATTATATTTTAAAACATGCTGACCCCCTCCCGAAAAAGCAAAGAAACATTATCAGTTTTGGCTGACATGATAACAAAATGTATTATATGTGCAGTGAAAAAATCATGGTTTGCCATAATTTTGACATAATTTTTGATAAACGCCCTTATAAGATAGGAAAAGAAGATTTGAATCTAGGAGTTTGAACTCTTTGAAAACTAATTTGGATTTAAAATATCTTTCATATCTTATAGACCAATGCTTTACATCCGGAGCTTATGAAAACGAAGGAAACTTCTTAAATATGTGTTTGATTTTGTCATTTTACAGAGCAAACTTCAAACTTTAAATAAAATAATCTGATATCAGCAGCACATGGACTTGGAATGTGTTTAAACCTTAACAGTACAATTGGGGTTCTAGCCGCATTGCATAATCTTCTAGTTATTTAGCAGCTTCTACCCCGAAATATTTAGCCTATAACTTTTTTTTAATCTTTTTTTCTGAGATATTTAAAAAAATATATATGCATGAGCGCGTATGTGAATTCTGAAAAACATGGAAACAACCCTATTCATGATATCAAAAACAGGGTGAACCCTCTATTCGCAAAATCAAAAACAGCGTAACCTCCCTACTAATCCACAGACCCACCCCAGGCCGAAGTAACTGTCCGAACCCTTAGTGTTTAATATTTCAGTATAGTTTCAATTTCGGGGCTGGTTACACTGTATGCTATGAGACATGGTTGCGTTACTATGAAAGTCATATTACTAAACTGGTAAATATTATGAGGTTATTACGAGGATACCTCAAAGTATGCAGAAGTATCGACCAACGAGCAGCGAATGTCGATGTGACATACTTTGAGGTGTCACCAAGTTGCATTGATGTTGTCATGACGATGCTATGGGGCGACACCCTCACTGGCGGAGTCCACATGCCGTCATGACAACGCATGCAAAGTATTTAGACTATTGGTTGAACGATTAACACTGTCGTTTATAAAAATGGGGGGTTCTGGCGTATTAAGTGAGAAGAGGACCGGGGCCGTATGGTGACGATTGTAGTTGTAATAAATATCCAGCTATACTATATTACTGGTGTCCCTATGACTGAATGGTACGTATAAGTGTCGAGCGATCCTAGTGAACCACTCACTGCCTTGCGAGTTACCCATTCCCCGTTACAACCACTTCCCGTATATTCAACCTGACGAACCATCCACCCATAACAACCCCTGATAGACGAAACCCGCATTGTTTACAGAGGTATGCTCGTAATAACCTTATTATTATACATTTTTTCCTTCCAAGGATACGTCATGGGAATGCCGAAATTCAAAAATTTTGAACAGAATCAGCGAACTTCTTTGTGTGGAGTCTGGTCAAACCCTGGTGACAGCCATGTTTGTTTTTATTATTAGAGAACTCTTACGCGCGTAATCATTCCATATTTGGAATTTGTATTTCCTAATATGGTAGGATGAAAATACCCCGTAAAATACCGCAAAATTACGGCAGATGTATAACAATAATGTTTATGTGCAAATCGCGGTGGTTCAACACGTTACGTAATACATACCCGATAGTACCATAATAACAAGACAATTTAGAACATCCCAAACGCAGGACACCATATTCATATCGTAGTAGACAACACGACACACAGTAAATATTGACAACTATTGATTGCCAGGTAGGTGTGTATAGTGACTACAATAACGATGTTCTGACATCATGCATTACGCAGTGTCACATGCTGCCAGAAAACGTGCCCCTACGATATCTTATAGTGACTTGTAGTAGTACAATGTACGAACCTAATACTGCAATTATATTGACAGATTCGTTCAGAAAGTGTCAATACAGTATTCCATATCGATTACGCTAAATATTACTTTATTGCTGCCTGTTGTGCCTGTAAATTCTATTGAATATTGTAAACGTGTAGTAATGATAAGCCTAATCGCGAAATTACAAGCATTGTTCCGTTCCACTGACGGAATGGCGGTAAAAAATGGTACACTTTTGAGGGCGAAAACTATTCGCGTTGCTCCTCGCTCTTAGCGAGATTTCGACATCCACTCGAATAAGGTCTTGTCCTTGTTGTTTTAGTATAAATAAACCTTGTTTTTAATATTCATCACATTACTATATGTTCAGTGTAACAAAGATCAAGAAACAAGAAACCATTGCAGTTTTGACATGACCATAAGCTTTAATCACCTTGCCACACTTACTTAATATAATTTAATAATAAATGACATGTGACGAGAAAATAATTTACAACATAATTTTTTTCTGTTTTGCTGAATAAATTACATTATTAATATTCATACTTGTTTTTATCATCGATGCTATTCATGCTTGTATTACATGAGAAAATGCTGCAAATATACGTAAAAACTAAAACATAAGCAAATAATATAATTCGATCCGATTCCATGTTGTGCATCTTCTTATGAACAGCTGCAAACACAATGAATAATATATCAAACACATTTCCATAATTGTAATGGACATTCAACTAACTCATACAAATAATGACTTATATTATTCCCGTCTGTGTCATGTCTGAGTACAACACGAGCTACATGCAATAATGCTAGTATTTAGTGCATGACCTTACCCCTGTAGACTAACGTATACCCTCACCTGCCATCCACGACCCAGCTTTCTCCAAATTCGTTAACATCATCCACCAACGTTAACCCATCCGGTGTCAGTTTAAGAAAATCATCGTCTGGGTTACCATTTCCATTACCCAGCAAGCCGCACACACGATCGGATAAACTATCTACAATTTCTAAATTGACACGCCCATTGCCATTGAACCACACTGTGAACTCGTCCTCTTTGTCTACCTTGACATTCGGTCCATCTTGTTCTATTGTTACCCCAATACTCGCGTCGTTCCATCGTACCATTTCACGGATGTTCAATGGAATGTTCTTATTTATCTGAAAATACAAACGCTGATCATTACTTTTTGTTTGATGTGTTTTTCAAATTATACAATAAACAATAGACGAAATATTAAAAAAAAAATGGCAAGGTAACCGACATTGTGAATTATAGATGCATGCTGGGTACTCCTGATTTTCTCTCTCCATCAATAAATATTATAAATTGTACTCACCGAAACATACCTCTGTTCTAATAAGTCAATTTGTAAGTCCGATAATGGCCAATTCTTCAAATAAATCGAAATACCTTTAACATACGTTATTAGGTTTCCTTTTAGATTTTCCATAACTCCATGTTTGCTTGTCACAACGAAGCGAGGTTCTTCCAACGGTTTGCTACACTCTCTCAATAACACATAGGAGCATTCACCATCGAATCTATACTCCTTCTTGTCAAGTGTGTTGAATATAGGGTCACCTTGTTCTACAACGGCTACAATAATTGTATTAGATCGTTACGATCAGGCATACATTGATCACAATAAATGTATATTCTTAAAGGGCAGTAGTCGTCGCGCCACGCATGCGCAAGATATATGGGTCTCATATAAACAAAGATGGCAACTTTGACTGTTGCGCAGATCAACGAGTACAAACTGAGACGTTATCAAGCTTTAATTAGGTATTGTCAGGTGATTGAAAGGTATCGAACAAGTCATCAGCGATAATGAGTGCAAGTCGCGCCCAGGTCAAACATCATACTTGTGATTTCTATTAGAAGAGCACATTGAATTGTGGAGAAATCAAATCAAATGTCGCACATGCGCAGCGCGATGACTGCCGCCCTTTAATCACTCAAAAGAAAACAGCAGCATTTAGCATAAATTAAACATGTTACATATTAATGGGAGGCACAAGTACATGGCATGTAAATACAACAACATGGCTTATTAATACATTGATTGTCTGAGTCAATAGCAGCACGACGTATGCCAATATAACAGTAGTGTGAGGTAGGGGAATATTGCCAAGAACATGTATTTTGCAATAGCGGCAGTGAAATCATGTTTTTATTGGAAAATATTCGACTGGAAAGGTGGTATACGCAAAGGCGACATCAGTGACATGAACACTTATTCTCATATTTGACGTGGCTAAAAAGCGTCTTTGTGATGATATGAATATATAAATTCATTTACTAACATACAACTACAAACTGTGACATGTTAAATGACACAAATAATACTTACGGCGTGCGGTAGGTGCTGTAAAAATGAGAAATATTTATAGTAAATCGCCGTGTTAAAATATAGAGATATTGCAGGCGCATTGTGCTTATTTTTAAAAAAAAATTCTATTCATGTGTAATTGATTAATTTCGATGGGGGTAGACACCATTGTATACTCACCCTGGCAACATACACAGCTAGTCTCAGGGTGTATTGTATCATTCGGGCAAGTTGCGGATATTGATTGTTCTTTTCCGGCGCAGAACAGGGGTCGGCAGCACCCACCTTCTTCACGACACTCAGAATCTTTAAAATCGAAACGATTATCGTCATGTTTTTGGTAACAAAAATAGAAAATGATTATTTAAATTTTATTTATATGACATTCTATTGTGAACCGAATTGTTATTCATCAGTGAATGAGTTCTGTGTTACCCAGGAAACGGTCTATCAAATGATTGGAAAATGTCATTATTTTATTACTAGTTTGTTTAAATATCAATGTACGTGCTTACCACCAGATGACCCAGTATCGCATCTAAAAGTTAAAATCAAAACAGAGTGCCATTTTAAAAATATATCAATGAAAAAATTGAAGATATATCAATGAAAAAATTTAAAGATATATCAACAAAAACTAGTTAAAGTAAAACATTGCTATGAAATACAAATAATAATGCAAACATAATACAGATACATCAGATGATGAATTCGCGTGACGAATTTGCATTACGGAAATTAAATAAGAATACATAAGTTGACTGGCGTGCGGTAAAATAAATGTATATAAATATACTCTATGTTGAACAGTTGGCATCGTTTATATTATTTCTATTACCCTAACGGTGTGATTTAAATACCCACCCCTTCAAACAGCATTGCCTATAGGATGGGCCAGAACATAGATTGGGTCGGTAGTCCCCCATGTGACACGGCCGAGTCCTAGAATCCCGACACACTCCACCAGCATTCGTACACGGAGTATCATCTGTTAAAACATTGACACGTACACAGTCGAATAAATGAAACAGACATTTACTAATGAATTTATATGCTATCATTAATTGGCTATAGCGATTGTATGTTGACTTGAAAAGAAGATTGAACTATCGATATGAGGCTACTCACCACCTGGCAGCCGACAACATTGCCTGTAGTAGAAGCCAGAACATTTGCCAACATCGTACCAACCAGAACATACCTCAACGATGTCTTTACACTCTCCACCTGCGTTGACACACGCTGAATCGTCTTTTGAAGATATATACATGTATATATATTATAAACACAAACATATATATTTATACATATATATTCAGGAACAATAAGTTGCTAAGTGGACATATACCTTTGTTGTCTATACAGCACACCCTACCAGTTCCGTCACACAAACCCGGAGTTGAATTGATGACCCCTCCACATGCTAAACCTTCAGGCTGACAGTCACCGCCTATTAGTTCACATTTAAGGTCACCTGCAGTACAAATTTAAACATAGTGTCAAACATGAAGGGGATAATATTACAATACAGTAAACGGCGAGGATATATGTATTATAAATACTCACAGGTAGGTTTACAGCATTTGCGTTTAGATGGGAAATCACAGAGGTCATCTTCATACGCACCATCACATCTGTCAGTTGCAGCTTTGCAAATCCCCCCGTCTGTTACACAAGGCTCATCTGAAATAAATGCATTTTAATTTAATTTCTCTTTCTCTAACATTTTTACTGATATAGAATATGCTTTGTTAGTTGCATGGTTTGTTCATTGAATGATTATATTTTGTATGTTATTATCTATTGATTTATTTTGATCTGTATAATTATACAGTGTTGTACTATATAAGAATCTTTATGCCAAGTGTTCGCCTTGACTAAACAAAACCTAAATAAGGTACTATTTCAAGTAACACCATATTTGTAAGACGCCGAAAACTCCCCCAACGGTATCCCTGTAACGTAAATGGTAATAAAGATTTCATCATACTCCACTGGTCACGTAAAAATACTACAATAACTGATTCTGTGTATTATCTTTCATGGTGTGAACCATTCCTCAAGATGAACAAAGTATTTGGCATTTTGGTAGATTAAATTTGCAGTTTCTCTAAAATAAAAAAAAATGTTCCTTTCCCAAAAATGTTCATGCCACCCAGGATTCAAATGGTCCGCCAAAATTTGATTATACGCTGTGGGTGCTTGAGAAAATAATTGATCACGTGATCATCGTGTCGGGAACGCGTGTACTTCAGTTAAACGTAGAACGTTCTCAACGACATGTGAAAACATAGGTATGTTTCCAGAATAAAATGAGTTATTAAAGTGAAAGAATCATGGTATGTATGTGGTTTAAACAATTTGTACCAATTTAACTGCATCAAACTTCTTCAAGGATAAGGGTTAAGTGTACCTTCTGCTTTCGAAACAGAAAAAACAAAACAAAACAAAAATGCATATCTAACCTTTGGTAGGATCAGCTGGGATGAAACATCTGTAATGATTATTACATCTGTGGTACTCTTGGCAGATTCTACTTTTGAAAAAGCAGCCTTCACCATTTACTCTGTTATCTCGACATATTCCTTCTCTTCCTTCTGCATCATGGCATGTTAAGCTATTGTTATCTGAGTATAAATTAATATATTATTATAGCAAACCAATGGCACGTCGCGCGGTTGAGCAGACAGCGGACATAGCAAATGGGATGACAGATAACCAACGGATAGCGGACATAACCAAAATGGATTTCAGATAACCACCGGAAAGCGGAGATAACAAATTGGATGTCAGAAGACCACCGGATAACGGAAATAACAAATGGCATGTCAGATGGTCGAGCAGATATCGGACATAACAAATGGGATGTCAGATGGTCGAGCAGATAGCGGACATAACAAATGGGATGTCAGATGGTCGAGCAGATAGCGGACATAACAAATGGCATGTCAGATGGTCGAGCAGATAGCGGACATAACAAATGGCATGTCAGATGGTCGAGCAGATATCGGACATAACAAATGGGATGTCAGATGGTCGAGCAGATAGCGGACATAACAAATGGGATGTCAGATGGTCGAGCAGATAGCGGACATAACAAATGGCATGTCAGATGGTCGAGCAGATATCGGACATAACAAATGGGATGTCAGATGGTCGAGCAGATAGCGGACATAACTAATATGATGTCAAATGGTTGAATAGATACCGAACAAAACAATAATATTTCCGAAGACGTAGTTCATGTACATATGTTTCCAGATGTTGAAGAACAAAAAACTTTATTTTTATAAAAAAAATAGTCACCTACCTTGACGGATACGTCTCTGGTGCGCAACCTACATGATACAAATGAAAATACAATAGTATATCATTACAGACCCAATGAACAAATCAAAACCATGACTATATGATAGTAAAGAGACAAAAGTAGAAACGATCTAAATATAATAGAATATCAACATACATTTTCCCAGCTCGTATTTGAAACCACAAGACAAACATGGAATGATACTGTGATGAAACCAAGTACGAAGACCCGCATTCTGAAATGAGATTACAATTGATTTGTACTGACGATGTTCACAAATAACGTAATGTGATTTTTTTGGTAATAAATTCAAATGAGACAGAATTTAGAAGAGCGATATACGTAGCGATGACATAATTTTTGCAATCGCAAATTTTAAGCATTAAACTTCCTTTCACAACAAATCACTGAAAGTCACAGCGAAGTAACGCAGTTGGGGACGAAATTGTCGTTATCGTCTGTGTATGTTGTGAATATTTGGTTTACGCGTTTGCAAAGCAGTATTTAGTTACATAATTGAAGTTTTAGATATCTTAATCGTGATAAACGTTATTCACATTATCACAAATAAACTGAATACTTAAGTAAGTATTTTTTGATAGACCACTGAATTGTGTTATTATCGAATTGTCACATCTTACGTACAGCAGCGGCTTTTAACATTACATACACGAAATATTCGTGTCAACTAGAACCTATTAAAGTTTAAGAGAAGTTACTTTTAAGCAGAACGTACCTAATGTTTAGTAGTACGAAATGGTGCCGTCGACACTTTTCTTAGGACCAACCCTCAAATGAATAGTACTGGGAACAAAACACCGACTTATATTACCAAATCATCAATATTCATGAATTAACTAATCACCAAATAATCGTCTACCTGCTGACAGTATGAAGATAATATCTACCTTGTATGCAATTCATTGTGTGATATTATCATGTGGGATCAGTGGTTGGGAACACGTGGAAGATGTGATTGACAACATAATCGATGAGTGATGTACAATCGAGCAGTTGTCATATTTATTCGAAAAGTTTAATGATGGTGTACAAATGGTAGTACTATTTTTAACACGATAACCAGGAAGTTTATACTGGCTTCTGAATTGGTTTGGTGTGATGGGGCGCTGCGTTGCGTGATGTAGTGCGGTCTGGCGTGGTATGGCTTTGCGTGGTGTGGTATGGCATTGTGTGAAGTTGTTTGACTTGGCATGGTGTGAGCGTCGTGGCATGCTGTGAGCGTGGCGTGGCGTGTTAATGAGAGTCATGGCCATTCAACAACGTTTAAATTTGCATTGTTTTGAGCAAAATTACACAAACACTCACGGTTTAATTTTATTATTTCAGTCTTGTAAATTATTATTAAAATACTCAGTAAATTATATAGGCAATTTATTTGTGTTTAACTAAACTGTTTTTGGAAGACACCATCTGTGTATATTAGTGTTTCATATATTAGCATACTTTACTGAAAGAGTGCTCGTCAGCTTCCTTCCTGGCTTATCCACAGTTATTTGCGTGACTCGTTATTATTCGTGCGTATTGCACGAGTAGAACACGTCCAGGACGCATTGGTTTTCAGGTAATATATCTGAATAGACACATATTGCGCGAAATGAAAAACCTGTAATCGAAATAATATTTTAATATGTTTACGTTTGAGTCTGCATATTTTTTTTTTATCTCAGCTACTTATTTTGTTTGTCTAGGTAGCATTAGTATTTTTCTATTCCATTGTGTCCAATGCATTTTAAAGCGGGAAAATCGTCATCTGCGCATGCGTCAGATGGCCATAGCCTGTCAATGTTTACAAACAAGCGTCTACCCATGAGCCTTTGCGTTTTTAGCATTCTCACGCGTGTTTTTGGAAGATTTGCTGAGGAACGACTGCAACGTATGAGTTATCATGTTTACCACAAAAATAGCCACACTAATTTTTTCATTTAAACCTTAAACATGGATAATGTAGACCCTGTTATATAGAGATTATCATGAGATACATACAGTGTCGGTATATAACTTACCTAATTAAAATGTTTGTGTAGTTGTTTCTATGGTAACAATTGCGCATAATAATAAAACTAAGAATGTGCTTTCAATAACAAATAAATCTAATAATTGCCGTCTCAATTGACCATTCCGGAACAGTGTATTTTATTCATCAAAATCCATTATCATAACTGATGACTTCACCTATGAATTAAAAAAAAACGAATGGCATGAAAACAAATCAGTACCATCCACTCCTGATATATTCTGTAACATTCACAACCATTAATACTTCAATAACCTATAAAACTACAGTATTATGTGAATTATTAGGTTGGCGCGACATTTGCGTAATGTATTGATACAACTCTATCCTGAAAAAAAATTGGCACAATCTATTAAGGATTAAATTGTAGTGTGCATAATCCGTGAACAAAACAAAAAACTTTCCCATACATAGCGGCTTATATAAAGCTAGAAGTTTCTACGTCCAGCTCCAAAGACGTATACATATATACTGATTTTCAATTAGACAATTGTATATGGTTCAACAAAATACACCTGTTAGAATTTATTCATGTATTCATTTTCTACCCAGTAAGGAAATCAAAATGGTTATTACCATGTCTGGGATAAAAGTGCTGCGCTTGAATAAATTAAACTTTTTAACAGACTTTTTTTTATAGACTTCAGAATGTATGTATGACATAGTATATGAATGGTAAACAAATACTGGCATAACAATGACCCATTTAGTTCAGCATTTATACCTGAAGATACGTTCAAGACACATGTCATATCAGCCGATCCATATAATAATTGGTTGGAAACAATAGTAGGTGTCTGACATGGATATTTCTTGTCACCCACATTCCTAAATCATATTTTGACCAGAATCAATCATGAGCAATGTCCTTGAATATTTCAACGATTGAGTAAGCTGTGAAGAAACCCAAATGAACTGACAAGTAGACTTGACCAGACAGAAATAAAATGTGGAATAGAGATTAATGCATACAAAATGTAAAGCAGTGACGACTGAAAAATACTCTGGCAGAAAAAATGGTCCCAGATCTAGAGTCACAGTATATACAGATCCTGCAACAAAGACGCAGCCTGTCTTTATGTGTTCAATGATAATAATAATGTGACGATGAAGTTGATATTAACAATTTTGAGGACAGTTGGAGTCCATCCATTCAACTGAGTACCATGTGTGTTGCTGCTGCGAAGAAGACAACAACATATGATTTGGACCATACCATTTCAAGCTGCAAGGCGTTTAAACAATGACTCAACAAACAATAAACACATCTTTCACCCACCAAAAAAATTGTAGCTATAATTGAATAACCAAGAAAGCGTTGACGTGATACAGCTTGTGTTTTGTTGTTTCAAAAGTTTTGCGTCATACTAAATGCACGTTGTACCGCTCGCTTAAACGTTCACTATTACATACACTACACTACACTACACTACACTACACTAC